AGGATACTGGCAGCCATGCCATTAACAATAGCACTTGCTTTCTGTATTTCTAGATCTTCTCTATTCTTCTCAAAGCAGTATGATGTCTGAAAAGGGTTTACAAACATTTCTGAACTGGTTCCACATGGACTTTCTGAAGAGTTACATTCTAAGCAAAGTTTTTTATGTTTCCTATTTTCTCCCCATTCTGATGCTTCAGCTGTCTGTTGTTGTAAGATCCTTGATTCTGAGCAAGAGCTATCTTTGTTTTGTAAAGATGACTCTGTCACTTTACCATGGCCTGGGCCATCTGATTCACAAATGTACAAGAATGAATCATTTGTGTTTTTTCTGGTAGCTTCTGAATCTCTAGAATTCTGTGTGTTTCTTCTGTTTTCTACAGTAGCTTTTCTTTTCACAGCTTTTGATTGAAAATTAAACATTTCATAGGAATCCAAAATACTATTACATGCTTCTTGGAAACTGACCTGGTCACCCTTCTCATCAGAAGACACATGCTTCTGAAGAGTAGCACTAAATAAACTAAAATCGTTATCTTCACTAAATTCTTTAATGTCCTCACCTGATAATTCCACAAATAGTTTTTCTTTCTTTAAAAACATTTTCACTCCTTCCTGAATGCAAACCAAAATAGTATCCCAGTTCTGAAATTCAATCAGCGTTTTTGCTGGCTCCAGGCACACATCATATTCACAGAACTGACACTGCACATTGATTACATATATCCCATGGAGTTCTGGGTTAGACCGATGCCGAGGACTTGAATTCATTTGTCTAGTGGCAGAACCATTCTTTGGCTTGCATATAATACTTTCTTTCCTCAATAAAAAGTCAATGAATTTATGCAACTTTGTCCTTAAAACCAGTCTTTTGTTCACAAACAAAAATTGCATATTCTTATTGTAATGTGCTTCAGAGCTGATATAGCCGCTGAGCTCAAACTCCTTGTATTTAAATTTTATTTCTCTTAATTTTTGGGACTTACCCAGTCCATAAATTTGACAAAATCGGGAACATATGTCTTTGGTTTTAGGAAGCTGAAGAACCATGGAACCAGAAACATCATTCCTCAAAGAGAAAGAAATGGAAGGGTGCATGAGCGAAAGAGCTTCTATCCTCTGCCTGACCTTCTCAAACTCCAGTCTAGGATCCATGCATTTCCTCCTTACAGGTAACTGGTAAAATAGGTTATATACTGTTACTGTTGTCCCGGCACTTGGTCTAGTCAGGTCAGCTTCACAAGCTTTCAGGGCTTTTCCATTCTGAAACAGTTTCACAAAAGTTTTCATTGTCTTGTTTTTCTTGGATGAAATTTCCACAGCACTGGCCATGTCAGCTATACTTGCCAAGGCCTCCCCTCGGAAACCATAAAACCTGGGATTCTCCAAGTCCTGTAGCGAGTTGCATTTACTAGTGAAATAACGATTTCCCACCTTGTCTATATCATCCCTCCCCATCCCAAATCCATTGTCTATCACTTGAACTTGGAAAGTCTCCATATTCACCCTGACAGCCACACATTTTGCTTCAGCATCAATGCTATTGAGGGCAAGTTCCTCAACACACTGGCCTAAGGAGCATATAGCCAAACCAGAACGCAATCTGGCTTGTACTTCAACTGACAAGCACTTGATCATGGCAGGTAGAAAGCTGGTTAAGAAGGCCAGGCACTGGCTTCCTTCTCTGACCGGAAATAATTGCCTAAGGAGGAAAACACACACACACAATCAAACCCTCAGAGCTACGGAGCATTATCCATTGCTCTCAAGCATAATGGAGAAATGCCATTTGAGGTAAATTAAATCTCTTATTAAACCACACTGTAAAAAACAAAACAAATTATAGCTTTGATCTCTACACAGATCACACAGCTCATGTTTAGTGCAATGGATTTAATATCCAAAGCAGCATTCGCAATTTCATAATTTTCACTGCTCCTTTCTAAATCCCACATGCCCTAAAGTGAAATCATAATCACGCTTGAAGTTGACCCATAAGACAGTGTTCACAATTCTAATCACTTCACCAAAAACAGATGTCTAAATTAAATTCAGCTAGAAATTCATGAAAAAAAATGTCCAAGCTAGTTTCATAATATTTATACATTACACAATAACCATGACTTTTAGTAAAAACTTGTAATGAATGGTTAAGACAGAAGAAATTTAAAAAATCAAATCTTTGTATCAAGAAGAGATGGGGGTCAAGAGATTATTATTCTTGGTTAAATGTTGTCTCTGGGGAAAAAGACCGGGAATGCAAAACGATAAGGCAGGAATTTTCATTATGAACTTTTCTGTATCATTTAATTTTTAGATCTTGTCCACATATTACTTTCACAAAAGTTTTCAGAAGGTCCCTGTATTACCACTCTTTGGGTATTTACAGATGGCGGCTACAAACTACCTTCACAATAATAGTGATGGTCAGGGGCTATCTGAACTTGATTTTACGTTTTCCCTTCAGGTAAAAAATATGAAGATTATAGTGCCATTAAAGGTCTCCCTTCATAGGGGAGAGAGCAGCATGGGCTGGACCTCTCGAAGGTGGTAGGGCTAGTTCTTCAAGCCCGGACATCACAGTTATAATCGCAGATCTGATGTTTTTTTATATAAGGAACTTTGCAGCCGGCAGCAAATGAGAGGTATTCTGAGACTACTCAACTTCACGATTTCCTTTTACAACCCAGTCTTTTCAGGGCCACAGTCAAAGGGGATGATTCGTCCCGGGTCTCGAGCTGCGAGAGCTCCGGGTCGGGGGCGGGGGGACAGGACAGCCGCCGCTGGCCCCCCAGGCTCAGGCTCCACCCCGTCCCCTCCCCCAACTCGCAGGCCGAACCCCTGCCTCCCGACGCAAGAGGCCTCCCGGAGCCCCTGCACAGCCGGATCCGAGAAACGCTCGCGGCGGTCGCCACGGCCTTTCCGCTATTAGAAGGGCTCCCGGAATCATCCTTTCGACGCGTGCTTTTTCCCCCAAGTCACCTCGAACCGCGCTTCACCAACTCCCAGTTACCCACCGCCTCGGACGCCGGGCACGCGCACGTTCGCTCGCGAGGCTCGCGCACGCGCCACGAGCATGCGCTTCTGGGAACGCGCTTGCGCTTCTGGGAACGCGCTTTCGTCGGTGACACCCAAATGCGCGTGCGTACCGGCTGTTGTCTGACTGGGAGACTAGGCGGGGTCTCTTCACACTGGTACCCCTAGTTCTCAATCCTTATCCCCCTTTCGCATGGTGTGAAAAGCCGTTTCAAGCAGTTTTCTCTGTTTCTGTCGTTTTCCTTCCCCCCTTTCCTCCTTTGCACCTACTACCATTTAATTCAATTATATTTTATTTGTGTTTATGTCTTCTCTCACTATAATGCAAACTATTTGAAGGCAGGGATTTTATCTATTCTGTTTACTGCTGTATCCCGCTGGCCAAAAACAGTGCCTGGACGGTGAGGCACTCGATGGGTGAATAAATCCACACCCTTCCATCTTACAGAATTACAGCATTTCAGAGCTGGAAAACACTGAGAAACTAGCTCCACCCTCTTAATGTACGGATGAGGACCCCGAGACTCCTTTCATTGACTTTTTCGTTGTGTTCCTAATGCCACTGCAGCTTATTTTCAAACTGAATAAGAACGTTAAGAACCCTGTGGGAATAGATGTTTGGGGAATTATTTTTTTTAATGGTGATTTAGTTTTGAGAGAGAGCGAGCCAGCACAAGCGGGGCAGGGGCAGAGAGAGGGGGACAGAAGATCCAAAGCAGGCTATGGGCCAACAGCAGCAAGCCCGATGGCAGGCTCGAACCTGTGAACTGCAAGATCATGACCTTGAGCCTAAGTCTGACACTCAACCTACTGAGCCACCCAGGGATCCCGATATTTGGGGAATGACTAACCAATCCTCAGTTTTTGCTGTCTCGTTTTCAGAGCAATCTAGTATTTCCAAAAATTGTAAATTTATGACAAACATGTTAAACTCAGTAGGCATTTGCGATCCACCTGTTAAATGACTGACCGAGACTAATCGACACATGTGAAGGGCTGGATGATGAGGCAAAATCCTGAGTATTGCTTGTAGGGCTGCCATAACAAAATGCCACACACATCGAGGGGCTTAAACAATAGAAGTTTATTTTGTCTCAGTTCTGGAGGCCAGAAGGCTGAGATCAAGGTGTTGACAGGTTGATTTCTTCTGAGACCTCTCTTCTTGGCTTGTAGGTGGCAGTCTTCTCCCTCTGTCGTCACATGTTCTTTCCTCAGTGCACGTACATGTCTGTGTCCAATTTCCTTTTTTTTTTAAGGACACTGGGGCATATTGGATTGGGGCTTACTCTAATGTCCTCATTTAACCTTGAGTACCTCTTGAAAGACTCTATCTCCAGATAGTCACAGTTTGAGGTTAGGACTTAAACATATGAATTTGGGATAGGGTGACATAATTTATCCCATAACATTGCTTTATATGAAATCCTTGCCCAGAGGAGAGGAATGACAGCAGGAACTCCAGAAAAGTAAAAGTAATTAGTCCAAAATGCCATTTAAACAGCTAACCTTAATAGGTGTACAATTTCCTGAAGAAAACTTCATGAAAACAATTTTTTATTTATTTTTTTTTTTTAAATTTATTTTTTTTTTCAACGTTTATTTATTTTTGGGACAGAGAGAGACAGAGCATGAACGGGGGAGGAGCAGAGAGAGAGGGAGACACAGAATCGGAAACAGGCTCCAGGCTCTGAGCCATCAGCCCAGAGCCCGATGCGGGGCTCGAACTCACGGACCGCGAGATCGTGACCTGGCTGAAGTCGGACGCTTAACCGACTGCGCCACCCAGGCGCCCCGAAAACAATTTTTTAAAATGATTCAAATAATTTCTTTTTCTTTCAGCTCTCTTTAAATTACCTCAAAATTCTCTTCCCATAGATGTTTGCTGAGTAAATACCTCTTATTTTGCCCAAAATGAAGTTCACCAAAGAAAGTACCCTACACAGAAGGTTCTAATGTGTTTTTATTTATTAGAATTATGAATAGTTAGTTGTCATCCTTCTATCATACATATACAGTGATATTCAAATATCTGATACTAACATAACTTACTGACAAATTCTAATACTGAACACAGAATAGTTCTATATTACTAATAAAAACAAAACCAGTGAGTTTATCTTAGAAAATTTAAATTCGGGCCATTATTTCACAATCTGGAAATCTGAGTAATCCAACTTTATGATGACTTTCTCATTCCTGAAGTTTGCTCTATCGATATGCGATTTGGGACTTCCTCTTGTCTCAAGCCATTCCTGCATATGACGCACTTCAGAGATGGGACCTTGCAATTGTCCTTGCACTGTGCCCTGGTCAGTGTTCTGGACCCAGCCAACCAATCCCAGCTTTTTACCCTCAGCCTAAGGGAAAGAAAAATATGAGAGAGAGAAAAATCCAGTGAGATTGAAAACAGTGCGACTACAATCTGTTGCCAGAATCTTGGCCTAGAATCAAGCCACTGAAACTAATTTGATATTGTCCAGAACAGTCAAAACAGAACTACAGCAAGGAGAATCTCATTGACCTTAACATGAAGAGTTGGCCACTTGACGCCATTTCCTTCTTCTACCCTATAAAACCCAGGCACTAGAAATTTTCATTATGTAATCAGTTTGGTCAAGTACTAAAGACTTAAGTACTAAAGCAAATCAGATGCTTTCAAAATGATTCCCTAAGGCTGATTGTTGTTAGGATACTGGGCTGTATCTTGCTCATTTTCCTTTCTCCTAATCAAGAATCTGGTGGGTATATTAAACAGAAAAAGCATGAAGTTATCTGATCCTTCTCTTTGTCTTTAGCCAGGACCACACCTAAACAAATCCAGATGAACGAGTGTCCATTATATCTTTAAAAATCGGGGCGCCTGGGTGGCTCGGTCGGTTAAGCGTCCGACTTCGGCTCAGGTCACGATCTCACGGTCCGTGAGTTCGAGCCCCATGTCAGGCTCTGTGCTGACAGCTCAGAGCCCGGAGCCTGTTTCAGATTCTGTGTCTCCCTCTCTCTCTGCCCCTCCCCTGTTCATGCTCTGTCTCTCTCTGTCTCAAAAATAAATAAACGTTAAAAAAATTTTTTGTTTAAATCATTATTTCCTGGGCAACTCATTCCTGTGTTCTCACTACAGAAAAACTGTCTAACCCAAAGTCTTTACGTTACATCCAAAGCCCACTCTCTCTCCTCCTCCTAGGGCAGGAAAAATCATATAGTGATTAGCCTCTGAACATCAAAGTTTCATGAGACTATATAACTATTAGGTTTTTATTTGATTTTCTTTTCTTTCTGTCTAAATAATCACAGCACCTTTAAATTGAATAAGTTTATGAATACCATCTAATCATCGTAGTTGCTTTTCTCTTAGCCTTTCCAACGTTCTTTCCTTTAAGTCATTAAACTGTGGAATGACTGAAAAACTGGGAAAGGTAGCAATGTTTACAGGTAATTTTTTTTTTTTGGTAAAATTTGCAAGCAGAGATATTATAAAATTTATTGTTAAAGTAACCTATGTAGGGGCGCCTGGGTGGCGCAGTCGGTTAAGCGTCCGACTTCAGCCAGGTCACGATCTCGCGGTCCGGGAGTTCGAGCCCCGCGTCGGGCTCTGGGCTGATGGCTCGGAGCCTGGAGCCTGTTTCCGATTCTGTGTCTCCCTCTCTCTCTGCCCCTCGCCCGTTCATGCTCTGTCTCTCTCTGTCCCAAAAATAAATAAACGTTGAAAAAAAAAATTAAAAAAATAAATAAATAAATAAAGTAACCTATGTAAATGGAAGGAATTGGGTTACAAAAGAAAATGGGAGTTAACATGACTGCGTGCCCAAATGCCAGAGTAGTGACCTAATAAATATGGGAAATTGCTGCAGTAGGCCAAAGAAAATGTAAATTGCTGCAGTAGGCCAAAGAAAATGTTATGCACGGCCAAACCATGTTTGATGAGAAACTAAAGTATCTATCATATCAGTTATGTTCAAAGCAAAGACATGTTTGTATAATGAACAGAGAGGCTGCCGTCAAATAAGTAACCAATTTAAGGGATACAGAGAAAATTAAGGAATGAAGAAAAATAGAAGATACCTACAGCACGCATTAAGTGCCAAAATGGTGGCATTAAAAAAAAAAAAAAAAAAAAGAACAAAAACACAGAGAATGGATTTCAAGGAAGGACTACATCCAATTGACTTTGTATAACAATTGCACTCTTCTGCTTCAAATTAACCTAGGAGGGTCCGATATCCTTACATCTTAGAAGTTACCTTATATGGTAACTAGATATAATAATGATTATATTAAGTTTTGAGCAGGAGTTTATAAAGTCACAATAATCTTTAAATTGCAGTGTGATTTATCTGAACTCCTGAGAGCAGAAAAAAACACTCCCAAGTTTGATTGGTGTTGAGAATGGGAATTTCCTATAGGAGTTTCCTGTAGGTTTTATTTGTGCATTTGATTCTGTTCTTATTTTCTTTTTCTTTTTTCAATTTTTTTTTTTGACGTTTATTTATTTTTGAGACAGAGAGAGACAGAGCATGAACAGGGGAGGGGCAGAGAGAGAGGGAGACACAGAATCGGAAGCAGGCTCCAGGCTCTGAGCTGTCAGCACAGAGCCTGACGCGGGGCTCGAACTCACGGACCGTGAGATCACGACCTGAGCCGAAGTCGGACGCTTAACCGACCAAGCCACCCAGGCGCCCCTATTTTTATTTTTTCAAAAATGTATTTATTTGTTTTGAGAGAGGCACAGACAGCACAAGTGGGGGAGGGGCAGAGAGGGAGGAAGAGAGAGAGAATCCCAAGCAGGCTGTCAGTGCAGAGCCCAACACAGGGCTTGAACCCACAAAAGCCTGAGATCATGACCTGAGCCAAAACCAAGAGTTGGATGCTTAACCAACTGAGCCACCCATGTGCCCCTGTTCTTACTTTTATTTTTAAAGTCTATTTATTTATTTTGAGAGAGAAAACAGGGGAGAGTCAGAGAGAGAGAGGGAGGGGCACCTGGGTGGCTCAGTTGGTTGAGCATCTGACTCTTGATTTCCACTCAAGTTATGATCTCACTGTTTGTGGGATCAAGCCCTGTGTTGGGCTCTGCACTGACAGCTCAGAGCCTGCCTGGGATTTTCTCTTTCTCTCTCCCTGGCTTTTGTGTGTGCTCTTTCTCTCTCTCTCTCAAAATGAATACACTATAAATACATACATACATACATACATACATACTTAAAAACCTTTTTTAAAAAAGAAAAAGAGATGGGGCGCCTGGGTGGCTCAGTCGGTTAAGCGGCTGACTTCAGCTCAGGTCATGATCTCACGGTCCGTGAGTTTGAGCCCCACATCGGGCTCTGTGCTGACAGCTCAGAGCCTGGAGCCTGTTTCAGATTCTGTGTCTCCCTCTCTCTGACCCTCCCCCGTTCATGCTCTGTCTCTCTGTGTCTCAAAAAAATAAAATAAACGTTTTAAAAAAATAAATAAATAAAAATAAAAAAGAGAGAGAGAGGGAGAGAATCCCAAGCAGGCTCTGCTTACCACACAGCCCAACATAGGGCTTGATCTCACAGAAGTAAGATCACAACCTGAGCTGCTATCAAGAGTTGGACGCTTAACCGACTGAGCCACCTAGGTTCCCCTATTCTGTTCTTATTTTTAAATGATAGTATATTTTTAAGTGATAGCATAATGTTGCTGAATCATGTTCAGTTTTGAATATCTATCGAAATAAATGAACAGTGTTTGTTCCTAAGAAAATTACAGGAAGCTAATTCTTCCTCATAACCATATTCTGAAAACATTATTTTAAGGAATATAATCACCAACTCCAGTCTCCATCTAAAAAGAAAGTCCTTGCAGGGGCACCTGGGTGGCTCGGTCAGTTGAGCGTCCGACTTTGGCTCAGGTCATGATCTAGCGGTTTGTGGGTTTGAGCCCTGCGCCAGGCTCTGCTGACAGCTCGGAGCCTGGAGCCTGCTTCCGATTCTGTGTCTCCCTCTCTCTCTGCCCCTCCCCTGCTCATGCTCTGTCTCTCAAAAATAAATAAATGTAAATAAATAAATAAACAGAAAGTCCTTTCAGATCAATAACCTAGACTTCCATCTTAGGAAACTAGAAAACGAAGATCAAGCCAAAATTCAAAACAAGCAGAAAGATAAAAATAATAAAGATTAGAGTAGGGGCTAATAAAACAGAGAATGGAAAAAAAGAGGAAAATCACTGAAACAAAAAGTTGGTTCTTTAGAAAGATCAAAAATTGCCAAACCTTTAGCTAGACTGATAAAGAAAAAGAGAGAGAAGGCTCAAATTACTAAAATCAGTAATTAAAGAGGGGACATCACCATCAAGCTTACAAAAATAAAAAGGACTATAAGGGAATACCATAAACAATTGGGTAGCAACAAATTACATGACTTAGATGAAAAGGGAAGATTCTTAGAAAGACTCAAACTACTGAAACTGGCCCAAGAAGAAATAGACAATGTGAATAGACCTGTACTAAATAAAGAGACTGACTTAGTAATTTAAAACTTCCCACAAAGAAAAGCCCAGGACTAAACGGCTTCAGAGGTGAATTATATCAAATGTTTAAAGAAGACTCTTTCACCAACCCTTCACAAATTCTTCCACAAAACAAAAGAAAACTCTTCCCAAATCATTCTATTAAGCCAGTATTACCCTCACATCAAAACTGGGCAAAGACATCACAAGAAAAAAAAAAAAAA